TATTTAAGATTTTATATCTATCTATCTATCTATCTATCTATCCACACAGTTAAGCATATCAGTAATGAGAAGGTTGGCCCAGGATTGGACAAGACTCAGATCTGTTGTTCTTAGTTGACTCAAGGGTACATAGCAACAATAGTAAAGAAGATACATTTTTGTTGTCTTAACTTGTAACCTCTGATGGGGTTTTCCTAAGTCAGTCAATTCAAGGGCAGCTGAGCATGCTGCTTGTTATTCACCTGACGTTCTTAAAGCTTCCCACCACAGAAGAGAACCATGCGGCAGTGGAGAAGGCCCACAGAGCACCCAGGAGAATCAGATGGCAGAGTTACCTTATCCCCCAGGTATGACGGCGGGGCCACCCACCACACACTGAGTACTGTTGCAGGCAGCTCCTGGATGTCCGCGACCACACTGTTGCTGCCCGGGTTGAATGAAGTGGGGATGTCCATGTGATCAGCCATCTCCAGGCGCCAGCCCGTCATATCCACAAACTGCAATGCAAGAGCAAGGATGGAGCCGTGGGACTGAGTCAAGTCAGATATCAAAGAAAGAGGCACACAGCAGCCACTCTGCTTCCAGAGGCTTCCTGCAGAGTCTCCCCTCAGATGCTGTGATAGGGCCTCATCCCATCATGCACCCTGTTACAAGCCCTACCAGGAACACCTGTAGGTGTGTGTTGATGTCCCAGCACACATCTTGATCTTGGTGTTTAGCAGGTGCTCAATAAATGTTTGAATGATAAAGAAAGCCATGTGTGAATAATAACTTGGACTGTGGTGACATCATGATGGTGAGCTCCTTACAGAGAAACATGAAAGGGGACACAATGGTCCTCTGGCGCTGGTTGGTTGTTACTTTTTTTTTCCCTAAATGAAGCATCACAGTATTTTTTTCGATCACAGAGGACCCTCAATCTCATTGCTGTTGAACCAGAACTGACTCACAGCTGACCCTCTAGTGAGTGTTCAGAGGCTGTAAATCTCATGGAGGAGACTGCCCATCTTTCTCCTGCAGAGCTGCTGGAGGATTTGAACTGCCTGAGAGGTACTGCCTTTAGTTTAGCTACACAGCTGTCTTGTTGTTGCTGAGTACTGTAGAGTCAGAACTGACCCATAGCTGACCCTCCAGTGGGTTTTTCAGAGGCAGTTAATCAAATGGGAGGAGATTGCTCATTCTTCTCCTGCAGAGCATCTGGTGGTCTCAAACCACTTGCCTTCAGGATTGCAGTGCCGTTTCTTGCCATTAGGCCACTAGAGCTCGCTATGAGGAGCCAAATGGGAGGAAAGGGAAAAGTATAACATGACAAGATTTAAAGTTAGGAATAATGGTTTCTGATTCTATTTATTGGAGCAGGATGAGACTTCAAAATGGATTTAAAAGGTCATTCTGTCCCCAGTTACCAGCCTGTGCTTTTAAGAGCCATACTGTAGAAAGGATAAATAATCTGTGTTTGAATACCTGTCAGACAGAAGGTATTACTCACCCAAAGAGAGCCAGCAAAGGCCTCTTGGATTATTATGACTGCTGATTCACAGTATAATAAAGATAACAAATGTTTTTGTTTCGCAGAGCTAATTAAAAAGTGTTGCTCCCTTAAATGTGGTAAAATCAATGAGAAGAAAAGTAAAAAAGGAAGAAGAGGATAAGAAGAATAATGAAATGGGGGAGAAGAGCAACAAAGTCCATTTATTTGTTGTTGCTATTGAGTTTGTTCCAACTACTCATAGCAAACGTCGTCCTGACAACCATTGCTAAGTTTGAGCCTATTGTTGAGCTATTGTGTCGCCATGACTCAGAACCAACTCAAAGACAGCGAGCTTCCATTCATTTCCCAAGTATTTATTGGACGCCTACTGTGTCCTGGATCCTGTTCAAGCACTGTGAATTTATCAAAGACCTTGCAATGAGGCAGAAGATAGAAATTTCAGCACTAAGTGTGCACTATATCAAGGAATGAGACATGCGGTCGGGAAAGTAAAGCAGAGTTGTTGTTGTTGTTGCTCTGTGCTGTTGAGTCAAAAGTGACCTATAGCTGACCCTCCAATGGATTTTCAGAGGCAGTAAATCACACAAGAGGTGTGATATGCTTTCTCCCATGAAACAATTGGTGGATTCAAACTACGTGCCTTTGGGATTGCAGCGAATCTTCCTACTACTAGGCCACCAGACCTCCCTAAACGGGTGAGGAGTGAAGGTCTTTCTGAGCATGAGACATTTGGGAGCAAGTACAGGGACACCTGTAGAAGGGATGTTTGCAGCCAAGGGAACAGCAAGGAAAATGTAAAATATTAATAAACAGAAAAGTACACAACATTTCATGTTTCACACCAACTCATTCCTCACCTCAATCTTCAGAAATAAATAAGTGCAAAAAGACTTTCATTGTGTGCTTACCTTCGTCCTTCGCTTATGTGTGCTGGTGCAATGAGTACTGATTCCAAAGCAAAAGCAGCTGGTACAGCCCTTGGGATTGGCTGGCTCCAAATAAAATGAACCTTTTCGGCACACATTACATTCTGCACCTTCCACATTTTCCTGTCGATGTAGAAAACCAAACAAGAGATTATTCCTTCTGAAAGTTCTCTGATTATAGCTAGCTACTTGTACAAAATTTTAGTAGTAATGTAACACAGTAGAATATCAATGTTAATACAATAATAACTGCTATGTGATTGTTAAGCATTTATACATAATCAGTGTTAAACTTTTATACCACTTATCAGAGGGAAGAGAGGGGTCCCTATGTTTTTACGGCACCCCTTGGTATTCTGAAGCATCAGGCAGATTCCCAGTTTGGAGGAATCAATTCATCCCACTTACTACCACCCTCAACCACCGACTGGGAGTAGGAGCTCTCCTAGAGCCACATAGGACCCTAAGAGTAGATATTATTAACTCAGTCTGTGCCCCAGAAATAGGCTTCAGAGGAATCTTATGTTATTAGATGTTGTTGAATTGATTCTAATTCATAACAATTTCTCTCCCACAGAACAAAGCCCTGCCCAGTCCTGCCTTATCCTCACAGCCTCGGCCATGCTTAGAGCTGTGTGATAGTCACTGTCAGTCCACATCATTCAAGGTCTTCCTCTCTTGCATTGACCTGAGGAAGGAGGAGACTAGAAGCCCCCATAGGTTGTAGACAGAAGGCCACACTTGTTATCACTTCTCAAAGGGCTCTTGGGGCTCTGGGGGAATAGAGGGTGCTTCCCTTCTAACCTTTTTTATCACATGAGATCATGACTATGACGGTTACACGTACTAGGAAAAGACTCAGCATGAAGAACACGCCTGACTGCTGGCAGCGGGTGTGCTTGACCTTGACAAGGTCTGTCTTACCTTGCAGAGGCACGCTCCAGTCTCCGGGTCGCACACTCCTGGCTCTGTCCCTTCTCGGTTGCAGTTGCAAGGAACACACTCGGGGAAGTGGTAAAATCCAGGAGTGCACCGGTCACACTGTCGCCCTGTGATCCTGGGCTTGCACCTTCATTCAAGGGAAAGGGGGCAGACATTCTCATCATCTTCCTAGATATGACTCGGAAAGTCCCCTACACCAAGGCGGAGTGGCCGCTGCACAAACCAGTTACACAGACACAGAGGCTGGTGGCCAGAGACAAGCCTAGGAGAGGCTCTCTGGGACACCACCTGCACCCAGCCGACCATCAGCAAGTACACTCACCTGGGCCAGGTGTGGGGTAAGGTGCTGGGTGCAATTGTGGACGCAGCCCAGCCAGCAAGCTCCCACAGGCAGGGAGCACTGCTCAAAAAGGGGGGAACCAGAGTTTGAGGGACAGCAAGCAACTCACTGGCCCAGGGATGTCACAGAGGCTGCCAAGTCAGTGACACCTGAATTGATTGAGTCTTAAGGATCAAGTAAAGAGAGGGTCACGTGCCCGAGACCAGCATTAGAGACAGACCTACACGAGGAGAGAACTTGCATGTGCACGCAGGGTGCATACATGCCGTGCCACTGGGGCAGGTGACACCCTGGGAGTGCTGACTGATGGCTTGTAGGGTAGGTAGGTGCCAGATTGTGGGGTGAGCAGGGGGTGTTGACACTCCCATCAGCTGTAAACCAGCTGCTAAGCACTGACCACAGAAGACAGACCCACTAGCGTGTTTACCCAGCCCAGACACGTGACAGCCATGTTATCCTGGCAAATGATCTAACACCTCGAAGGCTAATTCTCTCATCTGTGTATGAGAGGGAAGCTGAAAGCTGCCCCTCCCGGGATGCAATGGAGACAGACGAAGATTTGCCTATAAAGCACTCAATACCAGGCCTACCTCGTTTGAGGTCAGATTCCCAAAAGGTCTTTTCCTTATGGGCTGTTTTCAAAGGGGTGGGGGGAAGCATACTGGATTTACGTGAAGAACTGATTCAAGGAGATTGAAAAGATGAAGGAGCTAAACTAAAACACGGTAGGAAGCAAGCAGCAAGCTTCAAAAGCCATCTGAGGAGTTGTGACTTTCTGGCTGAGGGGACAAGACAGAGAAGGCAGGACGAACCCTTCCATGCAGTAAATGCCAATTCTGGGAGGAGTCACAGAGCCTTTGGGGATGTTGTTATTATCGCTGTTGTGTGCTGTCAAGTCACTTGGGACCCTTTGTAAAATAGCTCTGAACTCTGCCCTTTCCTGAACCTGTCTCACTGTCTCCAACACACCTACACCCGTTACCCTAGTTACCCTGTCAATCCGTCTCATCCGGGTCTTCCTCTCCTGTGGCTTTTGGAATGCCAATGTAAAAAAAATGGAGCAATCTTTTCGTCTGAGAAAAGTGCTTGCTCCCCATTCACAGACAGACTCTGGCTCACATACAGGCCCAGACACGTTTATCACAATCCCTTGTGCATAAACTCACATATATTCTCACTCACACCCTCTCTCACAGACACATACTCACTCACACATTCGTACACACACACATGCACAACCATGCCCATGCAGTTACTCTCACACAATATTGAATTCACCATTAGAGGGTTCCAGGCCCCAAGTGAATACCCTTTGCTGTTGCAAATTTCAGCCTAAATGTCATCAGAAACTCATTCCCCAAAACACCAGGGTTTGTTCCTACAAGTTCTTTTTCTTTCTGGAGGGAGCAGAGAAGGTGGAGAACAAGGGCTCTGGTGGTCTAGAGGTAGGAAAGAAGAGAGGATGGTCAACTACAGAGAAGCAATAGAAAGAGGAATTCAGGGAGGAAGAGGAACCTTGGTGCCAAGGGAGGGAATGCTGTTCCCGAGGGTTCCTTATAGAAGGGGTGGCCTGGTCAGCCCAGACCAGGAAGACAAAGACAGGTAGACAGGAGCAAATGGTCTCTATTTTGACTCCTTTGGAAAGTAAAGGAACACAAGTATTTTGCAGGGAGGGCAGCTATGGATGTTGTAGGGATGAGCAGGAAGGGAAGCTAAATCATGACTTGTCGATGACAGGATGTGGGAGAGAGGGGATGGCTCAGAGGATGAGAACAAGTCAGCAACACAGGAAGAAGCTATGAGCCTCGGCCGCCAAGGGTCAGCCAGAGCTGACGTGTGGATGAGACCAAACAATACGCTGAGCAGGGTGGGCAGCGCAGTGGCCTGAGGACAGAGCTCTGAGAAGCCTGCTTGGGGCTGACAAGCGAGGGCTAACCAAACCATGAAGGTTAGCATGTAAATACTCGAGTGAAAGAACTCTTAGCCCATCGAGCTTAAGAAAACAGGCCTTAAAAATGAAATGACTTTGTTTTTCAAAGTCAGGCTGAACACTTTTTTAAATTACCAGGTGAAGTCAGCCTGACCTTGGCACCTTTCTCCAGAAAAAATTCTGCTCCCCAAGGACATCCCTGACAAAAGATTAGAGACTCCAGCAGATCCAGGGGAGGGCATCTCCAAGGTGCTGGGCACATGGCCAAATGCTACACAACGACGTGCAGGTGAGAAGCCGAAGGTGCGTGCAGGTATGCTCATCATACGCAGGCCCAGGTGTGGCAGGGTGGGCTCTGCCCTTCAGTCATTAAAGCAGGGAAAGCAGGGGGACAGATTACCCACAAAGGGTTGGTCTTCATTACGTCAGAAAATGAGAAGCTGAGAAAAGCTTTGGAGTGAAGAAGCAACACGACGGAGCGGGAGCTGTCCCAGACCTGCGCCCTCACAGCACCCTGTAAACAACACAGGGCTCCCCATCACCGTCACTAGTGGTTACCACAGGCTCCCCTGCCAGCCTGTGACCTCTCATCAGCAGGCACTGGTGCCTTCCTATGAAATGCAGGGTCTACTGAGGGAAGAAACAGATTACGCCTGACAAAACATGCACAAGAATTGAGAGATTTCATCCTGCCATGTATGCATCTCAAACTCATATATGTGTGTGTGTCTATATGTATGTGTGTATGTCTCTCTCTCTCTCTCTCTCTCTCTCTCTCTCTCTCTCTCTCTCTCTCTCTCTCTCTCTATATATATATATATATATATATATATATATATATATGTGTGTGTGTGTGTGTGTGTGTGTGTTGTTGTTGTTAGGTGCTATCAAGTATGGTCTATGATGTCGTTGTTGTGTACGGTAGAGTCACATAAACCCACAGCTGATCCTCTGGCAGGTTTTCAGAGCCAGTAATTTCATGGGAGGAGATTGCCCATCCTTCTCCTGTTGTGCAGCTGGTGGCCTTGAACTGTGTGCCTTTGGAATTGCAATGTAGCTTCTTGACACCAGACTAACAGCGCTCAACAACAACTGAGTAGGACCTATAGTGATCCTATGAACAATAGATCTTAACCCTGTTATCCTGTGCCATCCTCACAGTCTCTGACGCAATAGAGCCCACTGCAATGTCGACGTGCTCTATCCCTTTGGATAGAATATACTGTGCTTATCCATCTGATTGAGCATCTTCCACTCTGGCTCACCCTCCAGCTTCCCAAGCATGATGTCCCTCTCCAAGGAATAGCCTCTCCTACCAACATGTCTGAAGTACATAAGATGAAGATCTATCATCCTTGCCTCCAAGGAGCACTCTGGCTACACTTTCTTCAAGATATATTCATTTGTTCTTTTGACAGTTCATGGAATAGTCAGTACTCTTCTCCAACCCCACAATTCAAAGGCATCAATTCTTCTGTCATCCTTATTCATTGTCCCCCTCTTAGATGCATACCAAGTGACTGAAAAGACCATGGCCTGAATCAGGAGCACCTTAATCCTCAAGCTGACATCATTGCTCCTCTATAATTTGAAGAATTCCCTCACTGCAGACTTTCCCAATGCAACATGTCTCTTGACCTCCTGACTGCTGGTACCTAGGGTGTTGATTGTGGATACAAGTAAGACGACATCATTGACAACTTTAATCTTTTTCTCCATCTATCATGATGTTGCCTATTGGTCCAGCGGTAAGAATTTTTGTTTTCTATATAGAAGAAAAAATGACAAGAAATCATCCAAAAGCCTCCTAACTTTTTCTTTCATAGGGGAGGTCTCTCCCTTTGTGATGTAACTTCTTAATAAATTTCTCATTACTGTTTTTGCCTAAAAAAGAAATCATCCAAGAGATGAAGTAGCTGCAGATGAGACCTCAGGGAGCTGAAATATACAGACAGAAAAGCAGATAGCCAGGCGCCCTGTAGGTAATAATAATGCTGTTGTGTTAGGCACCATCCAGGCTGTTCCAAATCATAGTGACTCTGCATATAAAAGAACAGACCGAAGCCAGGAGCTGAGGCATCCTCAAAACCACTGCCACAGCTGAGCCCCCTGCTGTAGCCACTGTGCCAATACTTTGAAATTCTTCCTCATTTTGCTGACCTTCTACTCTACCAAACATGATGCTCTTCTCCACAGACCTTTCCTTGCTGATAATGCATCTGAAATCCATGAGATCACCAGCCTTGTTTCTAAAGAGGCGTTCTGGCTGTACTGTATTCATTGTACTTGTTATTAAATGACTCAAGGAACTAAAATAATATTTGTTGTAATATTTGCCATTGAGATGACTATGACTGAGGGACCCAATGAACCACCGACGTGAACTCTGCCCTATATCCTGCCCCACCCATATGTTCTCCCTCAAACTTGAGTGCACTGCTGTAATCCCAGCATGACGTCTTTATCCCCTCCTAAAAATATGCCCAAAGTACAAGAGATGGTGAGGTATGTGACATAGAGGCCATTTCCAAAGGTTTTCTTTTTGCTCTTGAGTTAGGAAAAGGACACATGACTTCACTGGATGTCCAGGGAAGTCTTCTTTCTTTCATTCAGGATTCTTTCATTTACACGGCATAATTTTACAATAGTGTCTGTGATATAATCAAAGATTAAGATAGAAGTAGAATCTGGATTTTCAATTTATATGGAAAGCAATAATTTTATCAAGCATCTTTATTTTAAAGGTGAGGAAACTGAAGCCCAGGAAGGAAAAAAAATGACTTGTCAAGGTCTCCTAGTAACACACTACTCTGAGGAATCATTTAATATGTCAGCCTGACTGTTGCTGTAGTTGTTG